CCCAAGGCTGATAACAATTTGTATTGTATGACTTAGATGTAAAACTTACATGGAGACAGGAGACTGGGCCAGACGACTTTCAGATAAGATTATTATCCATCCAGTTTTAAAGGATATCTTACAGCATTACATGTGCTAAAAGGTTCACAATAGCAATTGTACCCTTTGACCTAGCAATTCCATAGAATTCTATTACAAACATAAAATGGAAGAAAGGACCCACCTGTTCAAAATCATTCATAGGTGTACAATTTCTTTCATTCATTCATTCATTCATTCATTCATTCATTCATTCATTCATTCATTCATTCATACTTTCAAGACATAGAAGTTCCTCAGATATAGACATTCTCTCCATGGTATTTGTTATTAGAATTTTTTTTACATAAAGCCAACATTTGCCCCCTATGACTTCAAATTCTATGTACGAAAGCCCTAAGTAATCAGCCTTGGAAGAGGCCACAAAAATTTCCCTATGCTGGTCCCATCTCTGTTTCCATACTGAAAAACCAATCCCAGCAACTTTCATTCAATCCCTTGCCTTCATCTGGAAAACTTACTCATTTCTCATGCTGAGTTTCTCATTTCTCCATAGCTGGAGATCTATTTTAAAGAGTTGCAGAAAAGTTAACCTCAATGCAAGAACATTTCAAAGGTATGGATATGTTGGGAGGGTATTTAAAAGAATAATAGACACATGTCATGCTCTGATCACCTCTTAGTTTTTGGTGTGGTCAAAATGGACATGGTGGTGTGTTTCTGTAATGAAGGTGCTTTACTGCCTTGAGCACATGGCTGAAAGAATTGTTAACAGGAAATTTTGGTGTTTGGGGAAGTTACAAATCAGTTTAAAAACAAATTCAGTTGCAAGTGGAAAGGACTGTAGGACACATAGCCCTGTGGGTAGGCAACAGAGATTCCAGGACACCAAGCTCTATGGACACAGATTATAGTAAACAGTGGGGCCATTCCTGGGAAGGCCATAGATGGTGAGAGAATAGTGATGGCAGGTGCTGGGGGGAAAGGAAGGGTACCATCTGGTAGCTTCCCATTTTAACTGATTATTCTTGCTTCTCAGTGATAAGTTTAGGTTTGTTTCATCTTCTCCTGCTGAAATACAATTGCTGTCAGTGTCTTTTAGTTTGTTTTTTGTTTTTTTTTTTTTTTGCACTGGGACCAAGGCACAGGTGCCTAACTCTAGTTACGGTCGTGTCATAGAGGGATAGGTAACCAAGAGAATGCTGATTCTACAGTCTCTGATGAAGTGAATTCTGTTCTGTGGAAGGTTACTGAAAATGTTTGAAATGGTATTGAAAATATTCATTTCTACGTCAGCCCTTTCCAAATGTACGTCTACAGAATCTGCTAGTGTGGAAAGAGTACCCATGTCATCAAACTTCAATTCCTTTATTTGTAAAATAAGTATAAGAATATGACTTTCCTCACAGGATTGTTGCAAAGAAAGAGCTTTGTAAGCCCTAAAATGGTCTATGAATGTGCATCATTATTATTATTGCACAACTAGCAGCCTTTCTTGGGGAATGTAGGATCCTTTAGAGCTGGGTACATTCTTGGAGGTTTCCTAGTCCAATCTCTCATTTTCAGATGGGGAAACTGAGGGCAAATAGCTGGAGTGACTTGTTCAAGGTCATCCAGGTAGGAAATAGCAAAGTCAGGATTTGAACCCAGGGATTCAGATTTCAAAACCACTGTTCTTCCCTCAATATCTGCATGCTTATTGTATTGTCCAACAGAACGTAAGCTGTTTGAAAGTAGACATAGTATCACTTCTCTGGGTCTTAGTATCTGCAGTGTTTGGTATGTAGCTGATGCTGGTTTAAAGAAAAATTGAACGGAATTGAACTTCATTATTTACGGGGCAACTGACATTTTGCAAAGGGGTAAAGAAGCCTATAATGCCGCACTGCCCCCTAGTGGCTGATTTCCTTGCGATTGCTGGCATCTTTGAGGATTTTAAATCAATCCCAATCTTCCACAGTGAGGGAAAACACTCCTAGATGGAATCTTAAGTGATTTAACTGTCATCTGTAAAATGGGTGTGACAGGTGCAATAACTCCCCGCCCCCATACAAATCTCACATAAAAGTAAATCTGACGTCAACAATTTGAGGCTATTCCTCTCTTCTGCCCCCCACTCCCCCAAGCCCCAACCTCCAAACTTACCCGTCTTGAAATTTCTTGGATAAAGTCTTTGAGTCCCGCACGTTGGAGGAACATTGAGGGAGCTAGCAACCAGGGAGGGACTGAAGATTAGCAAAACACTTTGTGCCACCCTAAGGAAAAATACTACAAAACTAACACACATAGAAATATATGTCCAAGGAATTAAGGCCATTTTACTGAAGCAGTCACAGTTCTTCTAAAGAAATCCAAAAGTCATGTTTCCCCCCAGGCGTTGAATCACACTCGAAAAGACCTGGGACGTTACTCAGTCCCATATTTTATGGCTAGGCACCCAAATTACAGAGAATATAAGGGTTCAAAAACACACAGTCTATGTTGTTATTTTTTCTACATGGTAAGACAAAAAAAGTACAATGTAGGCAGAGTCAAATAACCCACTTTCCACTGGATCACTGTTCACAAGGCATTGACCAAGCTGGACTCAGTTACTTCTGCTTGTTATTTATAACCAGGGGCATTCTGATAAATGTTTAATAATTGGCTCTCTGAAAAAAAAGAACATGTATGTAAGACATGCTTTTCAGTTTAATCAACATTATGGACATTTTCTCCATCACTTTCTTCTCCAGAAAATCAGCAAAACAATAAATCAAGCTTCGATTTGTTACCTTTGCTGATTTCTGGGGCACAAAATTCACACTGAAAATTTAACAATCATTTCCTAAGCTCATAGGAGCTAGCTTCAGCACACCCAGAGATCATCAGGGTCCTCTTTGGGGGCTATGGGGAGAAGAATGGAATTTGACTTCCAAGGTGCAGGGCAGAAATCTATACGGTTCATCTACCCCAAGATCTTGTGGCACAGTGGCACATTGGGCCTGGAATTAGGAAGATCTGAGTTCAAATCTAGCTTCAGACACTTTCTAGCTATGTAACTCTAGGCCAGTCACTTAACCACTATTTGCCTTAGTTTCCTCATTTGTCAAATGGGGATAATACTTGCTCCTACCTCACAGGGTTGAACTATGGGGAGGATCGAATGAGATACTTGTTTAAAAATATAATAAAATACTTGTCACAGTGCCTAGCAAGTTATAGGCACTTAACAAATGCTTATCCCCTTCTCTCTCATAGCTAAAACAAAAGGGCCAGATCTTAGATCCAGCCCCATCTGATCATAAGAAAAGAATATGGATTCATCATGAAGCCATTTCAATTAATTCAACTATTAAATATTGAACATCGACTATATTAAACCTATCATTTCCCAGCTCTTCTAGTCCTTTTTGAATCCAGGCTGCTTAATGCCACTAATAGTCAGATGGTAGAGGGGATAGAGTGCCAGATCTGGGATTAGGAAGACTTACGTTCAAACCCAGCCTCAAGAACTTACTAGCTATGTGACCCCTGGCAAGTCACTTAACCTTTGTCTGCCTCAGTTTTCTCATCTGTAAAGTGAGGATGATAATAGTACCTACCCTCCAAGATTACTGTGAGGATCAAATGAGAAATGATTTAAAAAGTTTTTTGTAAACATTAAAGGGCCAATTAAATGCTATCTGTTGCAGGCCATATCTCCTTTGGTTCTAGAGCTGAACAATGAACACCAAAGAGAATTTAACCTAATGAAGTACCCCTTTCCTCTGAAGGGTCGCAAAGTCAGGAAAATTTTTCTCTTCACTTTTGGGGAGAGAGGCAATGTGGTATAGTGGATACAAAGCTGCCTTCAGAGCCAGGAAGACCTAGGTTCAAATCTAGCCTCTGCCAAGCTTGTTGGATAACTCTGGACAAGTCACTCAAGCCCTGTGTTCTAATGCACCAGTGAAAGTGCCCACCTGCATTGGTCCAGCGAGTGTCTTCATTCAAGAGTTCCCTCTATCAGTGGAATCACACATCCATTCTCTTTCCTTTTTTCCCTTAGTAGTTAGTTACCTTACACACAGAATCTTCACCTTTTCCTCTTCGGCTCTGATGGGAAGGTGGGAGAAGCATTCTGGAGGCCGCCCAGTAGCTACTTGACAGAACTTCAGAATTTCAGTCAATCCTCCTTGGTCAGAAATGACCTTGTCAATGTTATCACTAGTATGAATACGACTTGCACAAAACTATACATTTCCAAGCATCATAATCCCTGTGTTGATACTTATTTGTCGTCTGTGACAATTTTCCTATCCCAAGCTGAAATGATCATTCATTTCTTCCTTCATTCATTATTTGGTTTTGGTTTTACATTTTCTTTATTAATGTTTTTTTTTATTAACTATGGATACAAATGGCCCCTTTTCTCTGTCCCTACTTTCCACTATCCATTTCATTTCCTCCTCTCCATGATAGCTTAAAAAAAAATCCCCAAAGAACTCAGACCGAACCACAATGTAACCTCCATCATCTTAGATCTCCGATGGCTCCAAACTCTTAACCCTTGGTGATTAGGGTGATTGAGATCCTTTAATACAAAGGACACACCTGCCCCCAAAAAGTCAGTTCCTCTTCTTTTGCTAACCCCTGTGACTTTGAACAAGTACACTTCTCTGTGCCTCCATTTCCTCCACTATAAAATGGGAGGCATGGGAACTAGATGACCTCTAAAGCCCCCTTTAGTTTTAGGCATGTGATCCTATGGCTTCTCCTGGGCCTCAGCTTCTGCATCTGAAAATGATGACCTCTCTGGCTCTTTGTGACCCTAAATCTATGACTTTATGGTCCCAAACTCCACAATGGAGAGTACTGGCATGTCTAATTTAAATCTTCTCTGATTCCTCAGTCCCCTGCTCCCCAGCCCGCTGTCTCTTTCCCTCTCTGTCTGCCCAAGAGATTCCCGATAGAGCTATGCACAAACAACAAAAGGCCCTGGGTTTGTTTTCATTTTTTATTGAAAGCTTCATCAAAGAAAACAGAAGTTTAAACCTAACATCCACTGATCTACAGAAAGCCCAAGGAGTAGGGGAAATGGTAGCTAGTCGGACTGTGGTACAAATGGAAAAAATAAAGTAAGAAAAAGGAAAAAAAAAGAAAGAAAAAGGAAAACCTGAAACACCTTAGCATTACAGAACTTTCCATGACAATCAGAGCCAGCAGGACAAAAATGCTCTTTGATAAATCAGGTTCAGAACTGAATGGCATTCAGAGGTTCAATGGTCTAGGATTTGGTTACCATGAGGTCTGCAAAGATTCTTTAAAGAAGCCATGTCCCATTCTAATTGAAGCTAATTTTTCATCAACACAACATCAAACAGGTTTTTTGTTTGCTTAGCTTTATGGTTCCAATTATATCTATGGATTTTCTCACACACAAAGGATTGTTTTTCTGTTTTGCTGTTTTTCTTTCCCTCCCTCGCAATAGGGATAATTTTCCAAGTGCCTCCATGATGCCTAGGAACTAGCCCATTTTTTTTTTGCTAAAGAATTAGAATGAAAACATGTTTTACTGTGAGACAAAGCACCTTTAGCAATATTCTGTTACCAGGGAGTTGAGAAGATGCCCAACTCTAAAACTGAAAAAAAGAAGTGGGCATTATTTCCATTTGAAGCTATCATTAAGCTCTACCAGAACATAGAAACCATTCTGTCATGATAGAGGAAGGCAAAGTCATTCAAAGCACAGAAACTAAGCACATCCTTCTTAGCAACTTAAAATTTGAGGTGGACTTGTCCAACAGTTGATGTTTTTCTCTGGTAAGTGAACTGATTCATCTTTGTCCTGATCAAAAGTATACAGATGTCAAAGAAATCACAACAGTGAGGGAAGTCAAATCAACATTTATGCTTTTAGCACCTTCTCTCTCTCTCCCCTCCCCATTTATCATCTTCAAAGACTATAGTTAACTCTCCACAAATTGTGGTAAATAGGGAACAAGATGGGTTGAGTAACTGAAATCCACAGATAAACCCAATATACCTCATTGTAACCAAAGATGTCAACCGAACATGTTATCAGATGATTTGATGAGTAGTAAATTGGACTGATTTCAGTTTTACCTCCTTCCTGTTTCATTATCCACCATTCCCTGGAGGTAGTACAATGAACAGCAAAGTTACCCAAGGGTGGATGGAAGGAACTGAGGATGAATGGATTCCTTTGTATAATCACAAATCATGGCAGTAAGCCTCAGCAGCGAATGTGATCAATGGCTGGGCAGACCAGGGTGGACTGCGGGAAATGGTGGTGGTCATATAGAGGTGATGTTTTCTGGAGGACTCAAAGTGGCTTCCTCCTATGTTATATCACTGCTACATGCTGAATTAGGAATGATAGGGAACCAAAGGGCATTGTTGACATTATCCATCCTTGGCAGTGGCATTTATGTATAAGTATCAAGTTAAAACAAAAGAAATCATTAACCTGATGGGAGGGGGCGGGTGCACTAAGTGGAGGCTCATGAGCACTCACTGGGCTTGGTGGTAGACTTTTGCACTCTCATTGCACAAAGTACCATGAACAATAGATCAACCACTGAAACCATCCCTGACCAAGAGCTCGATAATAGGAACAATTTTACCTTAAGGAAAATTTTCAACAACAAATGCCAGTTGAGATTGACTGAAACCCAAGTTCTTTTCCAAAACCTTATTTAGTGTCACCATCAAGATAGATTGATTCATTACTCTTAAGTTCATTACAGTCTGGATGCAGGATGGACAACTGGGAGAACAGGGGCAAAGAGCCTATGAAAATTTTGTCATCTAACTCCTCCTGTAATATTCAGCAAGAACTTGCCAGCCCGGTTGAGTTTAACAGATGCATACTGGCCAAGCTAACTATGACATAAGAACCCAAATTTCATCCTTTCCTGCCATAGACAACATAACATAGGTCAAAATACTATGACATATTAAAAATAGGCTTTATTACAATGGAGGTTTCCTCAAATGGGCTGCATATTGGTACATACATATATAAATAATTTCCCTTCATTTTATTTTTGCTCATATAAAAACCATTTAAAACTTACTTATGATTTTCTCTTTCCTGAATAGCTCTCTTTTTCTGCAATGGTTCATATGCCCACTTTAGAACAAAACTTTTTTTTTTAAACATGTCTAGCTTTGTTCGGCTGGTCATTTAATCTGTTTCAATGAGTCCATTTAAGCTACTGAAAAACCATGAAGATGTAGCCTGGGTGTCCAAACTGAATCAAGTTCCCCTGAAATCCACCTTTCATCTAATGAGAGCTACTCAAAATGGGCCACCATTTTTTATGCATCTGCAAGAGTCTTGGCAAGAATTCTAATGAAGACTGGCACCAACATTCTAGACAAACAGCATCTAGCCAATGAACCAAGAAAACACAAGTAAATTTAGGATCAGACTCATTGGGAATCCTTTAGCCAGCTCGTATATTCATGTCTTATATATAATCAGGAGTTCCCAGAGGCCCAAGGCAGCCCTCTGCTACCAACACTCTCATTTGCATATTCAGTTCTCTTATAATCCTTCTGTGACCTCATCTTTCCTTTAGAAGGCATAAGAAGGTATTTAGAAACTCCCAGTTATCATATACATTTTCCCTTGGACAACCTCTCATCTTCAAGAAAAGAAAATATTAATTTGTGTTCCACTGACTGAGGACTACAGTTTGGATGTGACAACAAATATTTACGGAGTATGGTTTGTTGATCTTAGTTTGCTCCCATATTTTAAGATCAGGTTCTCTTGCCCAAAGACTTTAAGGAACTCTATCGTTCAATCAGGAATCTCCTGGTGTTGATATGTAAGACCAATGGGGCAATTGAAATAGCAGGCCAAATGCAGAAACTCTATTGACCCATAACATATAGGATAATTAGCTTTGTTTTTAGACAATTATGTTCTCAAAGAATTTTACTATCTCTGCACTATAGTTTATTACCATATCATTACTCTATTCACCACTATTTCCAAGCAAACATGGAAGGGTTGGTTTGCTTGTGTGTGTTTTTCCCTCTCAAACAAGGCCTATGCTTGGAACCTACTATTGCTTACCTGTTCAAGCTGCTATTTTTCAGGCGTGGTTTGACATTTGAGAAAGTTCATAGGTCAGAGGACAGAGAAGGATAAGCTAACTCATGTACAGAGAAGAAACATTTTCCCTTTCCCTTTTGGTATGAGATGAGATCTTTGACAGTGTGGCATGGTTTAAACAATTTGAACACAAAATACATGGCAGTGGTCAAAATGTTTGGTGGGGTGGTTTCCTTTTGTCCCAATTGGCTTAATAAAAACATCAAAATTATTTTGCTTTCATTGCTGGGGAAAACCAAACTAAACCAAACCAAAGAAAAACAAAAAACAAAAAAACAAAAAACAAAAAACCCCAACAACCTCTAAACATATAAATGAAACAGCAGTATTTTGAATAGAAACAGGAAGTGACCTCAGCATATTCATCAGCCACATGGTAGCTACCTTGGAATCTCATTGTCCAGAGCAAATGAGACTTTTCTTTATGTCACATTGGGATTTATAATGAAATAGAATAAAATAAGGTTGTTTTCTATTCAATTCAATTATTTTCAGGGAGAATCCATAATTATATGAGGTGTTTTGAAGAATGGGAAGAGGAAAATAAATGGATCTGGTTTGAAGAATTCTTTGTAGCTCTCTATGGGCAGCTCTACAATGATAAAACTCAAGTTGGTGCCATCTACAAAATGTCAAAAAAAACAACAACCCACAAAACCCAGGGAGAAGACAATAAATGAAGTGGAAACCTAGAGTGTCTCCCCCCCCCTAACCTATGGGGGTATTACATGATAGTAGGGACCAACAGGCAGTGGCTTTTTCTCTCTGGAATGGGTATTGAATTGAACTATAGCAGCCAATTATTGGAAGGATCATTTCCTTCAAATTGAAAATTAAAATTAAGATATAGGGAAGCACCATTACTTGAAATCATTTTTGCTTGGATTTAAAGGTGTTTCTTTCATGAGAACTTTCAGATCAATTTCAGAACCGCAGCTTTTATTTAAGTGGATTTCATTGGAATATGATTGACTTCTTTTCCTTTTAAATGAATATTATTTCCTTTTTCACAGTAATTATACAAAACGACCTCATTACCTCATTCCTTCGACTCAGCAACTTATTTTTGTCTTCTAGGCGCTCCACCAATTCTTTCATCCCAGTGCCTCATTCAGAAAACAGTACTACTATCAAACCCTTCTCAATTAACAAAGTTTCACTGCCCTGGATTTCAGGTAAAATATTGCAAATTTCCCATGGAGGTCTTCAAAGAACCATGTACAATTGTGTCTCAGCTAATGAAACTGCATTCACTTTTGGACCTAATTGGGCCTCCGCTGCCTCCTTTGGCTTAGCTGATCTCCAGGACCGGCTCCTTTTGGCTTTTGTTTTCTTAAATCATACTAACTCTTGATTGTCAACCAGCATATTAAGAGCTTATCCAGAATTCTGTTAGGAAAAAAAAACCTTATTTTTAATATTCCTACCTGCCCAGGAGAGTTAAATTGAGAAAACATGTCCAATTTTCCCCTTTTCTTTCTGGCAACCATAGCCTTCAAAGATGCAATGAAAAAAAAAATAAAAAGGGAGACAATTCTGCCTTCCCTTTCTTTCAGTTTCAGAATTAAAACTGCTATCCATGCTGGAAAAGATGAGCAGATGAACCAAAGGGGTGACAGAATTCAGAAGGAAGACTTTCTTCACAAAGACAATGAGACATTCTTTAAGGAGACCACCTACCATTCCACAGACTTTTTTTAGGGAGGGGGGAAGGGGAAAGGTGACCTTTTCAAATGCTTTTTCCCCCCAGAAGAGTTTATAGTCCAACATGCACAGAAAGAAAATTCAGCCTTTTAGGCAAATGCCTCCCAATAGAGGTGACCCCCACTATGGATTGCGCTGTACAAGAGCATAGGCGAAAAGCTCAGCAAGATGAAAGCCTTTTCAGTAACATTAGTTGGTGCTCAGATCTTGTCCTGTTCTGATTCTCAACTGAACCCAACAGGTTTGGGCTTCCTAAGCCCAACTAATATGCGCTTTTCTTTATAAACTCTGCAGTATGTAAAACACCAGTGGAATATAGGTTAAACAAACATGAAAATAAGAACTGGTCCGGCCATGTAGGTCAAATAAAGATTTTTTTTTAAAGAACAGGAAAAAAAAACACAAAAGAAAACCTCTATCTTCTGGACTGCGTTAGGATGTCACTTCATCTTTGGTATAAAATAGGCCATCCATAGGCTGCATTTGATCACAACTAGGAAAGACTACAGAAATTGTCAACAATTTCTTCTATCTATTGCTTTTTTTTTTGCACTTTTTTTGACCATAAGCTCCTATCTACTTAAATTTTTTTTCTTTTTTTTTAAATGCTCTTAAGCTAGGTTTTGCAATGTGACAAGCAAAGCTGACTAAAAACTTCTTAACGCTCATAAAAAAGACTGCAGATAAAAAGCACAAGGGCCTTTGTCAGCGATGACGCCTTAGAAATTAAAAAAAAAAATCTGCATCCTGCCCCCCCAAAGCCCGTATCATTTCGAATGCAGCCATTTGATTGAACCAATGTCAATAACTTTCCTGTCAATCACATTTCCTTTCTAGAATGATTCCTGTCAACACTTAAGACAAAGTTCATGAAAAGTCCCAGCATTTTTTTCTAATCCTTGCAGTTGCCACGGTTCCTTTATCAACAAATTTTCTTCAAACGAAGAAAAACATTTTCTTTTCAACTGTACAGTTTATTTTTTTTTCACCCTAAAAACTCAGAGTCTATTAAACTTCTGCACCAGTTGAAGCTGGCTCAAAGCAGTCTTTTCAAATTTCCTTCTCCGGTTTTTTTCTAACAAGACGTGGACAGCTTGCCTGGAGAGCCTCTGACGTCCTTAAAATTAAGGCAATTAAGATTCAAGATAAACCTTACCTAAACATTTCTAAGAAAAAAATTAAAAATAAAAAACAAATGCACTAGAGTGAAAGAAGGGAAAAAAAGAGAAAGTAGCTTAATTATTGAGGAAGACAAGGTTTTCATCTCAGCTCGCTCCCTCTTGACATCAGATTTGATGTTTTTTTTTTTAAAAAAAATCTATCTACACCTTCAGGTAAATTCTGAATCCAAATGTTCATCCAGATGAAATGTCAACCCCCAGTGTTTATGTTTTTTTTTTCCCCCTCTGGGATTTTTCTTTAATTAAAAAAAATTATAGCAAAAATAAAACTGTCAGACTACATGACGGAACCTTTCGCACAGCACATAAAAACACTTGGGTTTTTTTTTTCCATTGGGTAAAGTAGAAAATGAAAAAAAAAAAGCATTCGGTTGACGCCTGTGCAAACTGGAAGCCAACTCCTTATTCGTTGAAGTTTCTCCATTCAAGGCAAAGTTTTCAGATCGACATTCTTCAGTCCTGTTTATTGTCTGTGAAAACAATTGAATTAGGGTAGTCACTAAGTGGAAACAACTTGGAAGAGGCTTCTATCTTCTTTTCCACCTGGTTCCCTTTAAACAGAATCCAAGTTAAACTAATTCTGCAGGAGCTTAAGTAAGAGTCTTTAACATGAAGATGGTTACCCAGTCGTGCTCTGCTTACTAGAGAAGGCCACAGTGAAGGGACATTTAAGCATGGAGCTGGCAGGCACACTCCCTCATTTATGTGCATACACCTGGAGGTCATGAATTTAGTGCCTATTAGCAGATATTCCCGGGTCATCCACCAAGTGCTGGACAGCACAGCAGGTGCTCGATCAATACTTGTTAGCAGATGGAATATGGTCTACTCTATGGAAGTGAGAGGCAGGCAAAACCAATTTTTCTAATAGGATGGTTGTCCACCCAATGACTAGACTCGTCATCTGTGTGCTTTATCCATCAGGGTTCAGACAATGGCTGGGAACACCAGTTGTTAATATTGTCTATTTCAGGCCTGACTTTTTATGAGGCTAGCCATGATTGAGAGTGGCTGACTGTTATCACTTCTGTCCATAGTTCAGGTTTGGGATGAATGTATGTGGAGAAGTATATTTGCCTCTGTGCAGGACTTTTTTTAGATTTGGTTCACAAGAACCAAATGTATCTGTAAACCATTTTTAGATGATTTACTATCTCATACTCTCATTGCAAGCAAGATACACCCAAAGGATGACAGCTTCATGATTCCTCAATTTTATTTTGAATTTCTATCCCTAGGACCTAGGCACAGTGCCTTTACCCTTAAAAAATAAATCTAGAACAATGATTCCACTAGTATAATAATCAATAATAACACTAATAGCATTTATACAGCACTTTAAGTATTACAAAGCACTTTGCATGTGTTAACTCATTTGACTCTTCAACATCCCTAGGAGGTAGGTGGTCTTATTATCCCCATTGTACAGGTGAAGAAATGGAGTCTGAGAGAGGTTAAGTGATTTCCCCATGGTCACACAGCTAGTAAGTATCTCAGGTCTTCTTGACACCAACACTCTATTTCATAGGGTCATCTAGTTGCTTAGTGACTTTTTCCTGTGTTACCTTTTATTTCTACCTATGCCAAGTACCTTAGGGGAGCTCAAGAAAAAGCAAAATCCCCATTTCCATAACAGCATCAATAATTGTAGCAATGTCATTATTGTTATTTATTAGAAGCAGCAGCACTACCATCATCATCATTAATAATAAATGACATTGACAAAGAACTTTAAGTTATACACACACACACACACAAATAACAAGCATACATATTAAGCTAATAACCCCATTAGAGTTACTCTCCATATTTACCCCATTATTCAACACCCCCTGCTGCCTGCAGGTTCACATCATGCTTTGCTAAAATATCTCTGACCTGGGAGCAAATCAGATATTTTTAGGGATGTTATTGCATGCTGAACAAAAATTGGCAGAAGCCCCATCTATTAATTTAACAGCAACCCAGTGAATGGTTTTTCTCTCTTACTCAACGATCCACAATGACTCAGAAGACACTGATTTCCCCGGCACATTAGGTGCACTGTTTTCTGTACAATACATATTTATGAGCAAGGTTGGAGCTTCTTTCAGGTTTTATAACCTGCCACAAATGTTTGCAATAACCCTTTCCCATCGCTTCACATTGAAAAGGGCCTCCCTGCTACATGGCAACAAATGTGTGGAACTAAGTGGTAGGGGCTTGCATTTGCACGGTTCCTTCCTGCCTTTTAAAGTAGGGAGGAAAGGTGGTTAGATATTTAACAGAGCTGAAGCTACTCCTGTCCCGGCTATGTCCATTCTGCCTGTGAAATTGCATATTTGCATAATGCAAGTAGCTTGAATGGATGTGAGGAAGGAAAAAGGGCCATCTGAACATTCAAAATTATTAGCATCAAAACATTTTCAAAATGTTAGCATCAAAACCATTTCAAATGCTCCCTCTTCTTAATACCTCAGTGGGATGTGACTCTGACAGCAGAGGGGTAGCCTTGGAATGGCTCCCAACAGAAAGCAAGTAAGGTCTTTGAGAGCAGGGACTGTTTTATTCCTGTTCTTCTTTCTCCAGTAGTATGGTGTAGTGGATAAATAGCTGGTCTCTGAGTAGGGAAAACCTGAGTTCAATTCACCCTCTGCATCTGGGCCAGGCATTTAACCCTTCAGTTTCCTAGGTGACTCTCTAAGCTAAGACTCAAAGCTATAGAGGAGGTGCTGATTCTGCAGTGGTAGAGGGAATTTCCTTTCAGGGAGGTCCTTTCATCAATGAAATCACAAACAAGCCCAGAGGGAGAAAATGGCAGCTCATTACTTCCAGACAGTGGTTTTAATCCATGATTTCCTAGAATTGCTAGATAGCTAAGAGAAAGGACAGAGTATTCACAGAACCAATACCTCAAACAAAGTGAGCCTGAAATAGGGAGTCAGGTGTGGGATACCTCCCAGAAACAAAAATCAACAGGTCGCTTTTAATTTCATGGTGTCAAGTCTCCAGTAATAGTTTTTAAAAAGCTTAGGAGGGTATCAATACAAAGGAAGGTCTTCTTGCCTAGAGGGGACATTCTGAGACTGAATGGTTGCCCTCAGCTATTAGCTGACACATCCTTTAATGGAGCTAACTTATCTTTCCTATAACCTTCACTTTGAATTTATAGTCTCCCTGAACATAAAGGGAAAAATGAAGCCAGGGCAGCCATTTTTTTTTTCTGGATGGGTTCACAAGAGATGCTTTCAAGTCCTGACAGCTCCCTTTGCCTGAAACTGACAGAAACATGGCTCTGATCATGTTAATTACCTCCTCTGTGATGCTCCAGAAGTGATTACCCTCCATGAACTTCAAATGAGTTTGGAGAGGTCTTTCCATCTTTTTTTTTGGACCTACTGTTTCCTTCCTAGTCGATGGCTTGAGAGCACTTTGCTCAGAGAGACCAGAGAGGAGGAAACACATTAAGATAATGTGTTTCAAGATTTTCTAACTTCAATTTCAAAGGAAAGAGTGCCCTGCCAGGAGGCTCTGGTGTGCCATCCATCAGAAATGTCCCAGGGGGCATCAGTTGGCACATTGCAAGATACTCCACAGAATATCCTGTAATGGACAGGACAGTGTGGCCAAATAGAATCTCCTCTGAAATCAGGAGGCCAGCTTTACAACTGTGTCAACATTAAGGGAACAGCAGGCAGAAGGTCTCCAAAGCTATTTGCAATCTCTAGATCATGGGTCAAAGTGGTCTGATGCAGATCTCCCTGCTCAGTTATACTCAGATAAACAAATCCTGTAGGAACAAAACCTCACTTTCTTTGTCTTTTTTAAAATGAAATTTTCTGAGCATCTTTTGTTATTAGATTGTCTTAATTTCCTTGTTCCCTCCTTTCTGGCTACAGCAATCTTATGCAACAAAAAATTTTTTCAAAACTTTTATTTAAAAAAAAATTGTGCCTGGGTATGGAGGGAATTGGGGGAAGGTCTTAGCTCTTCAGGATTGGGTGGATATTGTTGAAGGCTGAGGACAAGGCAGCAATGAGTCTATTATATCTATAGGTCTTCCTATGACTAGCTGGGAGTGGTCTGGCTAACAATAGCGAATCAGAGAAACTCAGAGCTGGAAGGGACCCTGGGCAGCCCTCTATCTAGCCCAACCTGTACCTGAACTGAAAGTCCTCTCTGCCACATGCGCGAGGAGCTGTCATCCACTCTTTGTCTGAAGCCCTTCAGTGAGGGGGAAGCTATTACCTTCATCTACCACCCAAGGGTGTTATGAAAATGAAATAAGACAATATTTTAGAGGCAACTAAAGTAATGCAGTGGATAGAGAAAGAGTTGGACCTGGAGTCAGGAAGACTTGAGTTCAAATTCAGCCTCAGAAGCTTAATAGTCATGTGACCCTGTACAAGGCACAGAAACCTTGGTCGGCCTCAGTTTCCTCATCTATAAAATGGGGGTGATGATAATAATAGGACCTACTACCTAGGGTGGTTGTGAGGATACATGAGAGACTCTTTGTGAAGTGCTCTGCAAACCTTAAAGTGCTATATCAGTTCTATCTATCCATCTATTACTACTATTATTATTGCTATGCTATTGATGTCGTTGCTGTTGACTTTCAAAGGCAGGCAATTCCATGATGACAAACTGTATATTTTAGTGATGAGCAGCAAATAAAGCAGAAAGAGTCCTGGTCATAGAGTCAGGATAGACTTTGGTTTAAATCTTGGTTCTGGCACTTACTAGTGGGATAAGCATGGGTAACTTCCTTAACTTAAGTACTCTGAACATCATTTTCTTTTTCTGTAAAGTGGGTACAATAATACTCCTAGGTCTGCATTTTGTCAACCACAAAGGACTTTATAAATGCCAGCTGTTATTATTTCACTTTTGGTTAGCTCCAACTGTTAGGAAGTTAATGGAATCAAAGATTTTGACCCAAAAGGGACCTCTAAGGACATTCAGTCCAACGTCTTCATTTTACAGAGGAGGAAATTGAGGTCCAGTGTCTAATTATATACCAAAGGCAGGACTTAAACTGAGGAGCCTGGACTCCAGAGCTAATGCTGGACCAATACTGGATCATCATTCCATTAAGTCACCTTGGCCTTTGCAGCCTGCATCAAGTGCTCCTAGTTCTGACCTCTGGGCACAAGGAAAGCCAACCTAACCCCTGTATCATGTAATAGATAATTGGACATACATATTCTGTTCCTTCCCCTGCCACCCAACTCTCCTCTTATCTAGGGATCAGCATCAGTGATTTCTTCGATTCAGTTTCATCTTCATAATCACAAGGTCCTTAACTCTTTTGGTCAAACTCCTTGGCCAAATCACTTTGTCTCTCTATGTCTCAGTTTCTTCATCTGTAAAACAGGACAATTGGACTACCAGTCCTCTGATGTAGCCTTTAGCTCTAGGTCAACAATCTCCTCTCACCTGCCGGTATCCTTTCCTCAACAAACCCTGAAAGGTTCAATTTACCCTCTGGTCGTGAAGGGGCCACCAGCACCGTGTCTCTGGTACCATTTCATAAGAGGCTCTGCAGGGTCAGGAAGACAAGACTTTACTCACCTGGACTGAAAGGAAGGTGAGGAATGCTCTGCTGAGTGGGACAGGAGAGTTCACATCCTGAACAGGACCCTAGGTTTCCTAGACCAGGGCTTCTTAAACGTTTTCCACTCGTGACCTTTTCAGTGCTTCTTAAACTGGGGAGATCATGACGCACAGTTTAAGAAGCACTGTGACCTAGACTATTTCTGTCTCAGGTAATGACATTGTTGGTAGAGAAGCATGTTGCACAACCCTGTCCTCTTGTTTACTAGACAATGTGGTTTTGCATATTTTCACATTCTATTGAAAAGGTGCAGGGTTGGCTTTTCTTCTTTACATGGCTTTGGTAGCTGTTTTTGGGAATGCAATTTTCTCACAGTTGGGAATTTAACACATGGGAGGAAGTTGGGCCTGCCATTAATTTTTCTTACTGGGTGCCTAGTGTTGCCTTTGGATTCTGCTCATACAGAGCCAAGCACCTTATCCTTCTTTAACATTTACTCAAGCATGTGGTAGCTTAATAATAATAATGGCTATAATATCACATAATACTAGCTAGTATTCATATGGCTTAAAGATTTATCTTGAGGATTACAAAGCACTGATCTCATTGTATCCTCACAACAGCCAATTCAGGTCTTCCTAACTCCACATCCAACATTATTTAAACTCAGGTCTTCCTAGCTCCAAGTTCAATGTTCTATCTATTCATTATGCCACCTAGATGTCTCTAAAAGTCCTTTCTCCATTTATATCAGGGGTCCTTAATCTGGAATCCATGAAGTTGTGTGTGTGTGTGTGTTTCTAACATTTTGATAAGTGTATTTCAATACAATTGGTTTCTTTTGTAATCACCTGAACTTTATGCATTTATCATTTGGGCAATTCTTTTAACTTTCATTAGCCATAGTCTCCTCTTATATAAAATATAGTGCAGTGGATAAAGGGCTAGAATTGGAGCCAAGAAGAGCTGCATTTTATTCTGACACTTACTAGATATGTGACCATGGACAACACCCTGAATTTCGCTGAGCTTTTGTTTCCTTATCTGTAAAATGGAGATGATACCTCTCATGCCTACTGAGATCATGGTGAGGATAAAGCAAAATAGGCCCACGTTTCCTGAGATGTTAAAGCACCACCCTCCCCCCCCCACGACGAAAGTTCAGTACTCACTTAGACTGTTGGTAGGAATATGCAGGCGTATGTTCACTGGACGTTTCCACCGCTATCTGCTGTTGCTGGGCACTGGCTTCCTGTGATGAAGGTGCAACTGTCTGGGGAGAGGTATCAGCGACAACACCCTGGGAGAGCGAACACAAAGGTCTCACAAAGTTTTGACCACGATGATGGGGGATCATTCCAGGGGTGATGGGGGATCCCAGGATCCCACAAACTGGGGATCAATAACAAAGAGCAGCCGGCTATGACCAGCAGCATGAGTCTGCAGGAACAGCCAGGCAGCAGAAAATCCAGCCTCCAGGCGGTTGCCTGACCCTGGGGCCCTGTCATTCATCCCAGCCGGGCTGGGACACTGACCCTCAGCCCCGCTCCCCTTATGCAGAATGGCAGCCAGCACCTTCTTAATGTTGGAACAGTTAAGGGATGTCTGCCTTGAACAAGAGGCTCATGATCATAGGCTGAGGCAGAGCTCAGGCCATCAAATGTGCTGGGCTCTGATATTGTACTGGTTTGGACAGTGAAGTCACATGGAAAACTCTGGCTGCTTCACTTAGCACATCAAACCAAGGATTTCTTTTAAAAAATGACCACAAATAACTTCCCCTTTAAATCATTTTAATGTTTTTCCACATCTTCTGGAGGCTTCAGCAATTGTTTACCTTTAATTTCTATTTGTAAAATATGTGTACATATATTTATACATGTATTAGATACATATTCATACATATACATATTTACATAACATACATTTATACTTATCTATGTATAGAGGTATGCAGATTCAAGAATTTGTGTGTCATCTATAGATAGATAGATATACAGAGAGAGAAATGACAGATAGCTGTAGATAGATAATGGATCAATACATAGATAATGGGTAGATGGATAGATAATGAATTGATGGGTAGGTAGATAGATAATGGATAGACAGAAGGCTAGGTAGATAGATGGATGAATAGGCGGCAGCTAGGTGTCACAGTGGATAGGCCTTGGATTCAGGAGGAACTGAGTTCAAATCCGACCTCAGATACTTGATACTTACTAGCTGTGTGACCCTGGGCAAGTCACTTAAACCCCCCTGCCTCACCAAAAAAAAAAATAGATGGATGGATGGATAGAGAGATGGATGGATGGATAGATAGGTAAAGATAGATAGATAGATAGATAGATAGATAGATAGATAGATAGATGATAGATAGATAGATAGATAGATAGATAGATAGATAGATAGATAGATAGATAGGCAGGCCCATGCCTAGATCTCCAATTTCATTAGGTTAGGGATCTAATGATACAAAGCTCTTTCTACCAATGCAAATAGGCAGGGGGTCTGCAACTTATTTTTAGGGAGATGCATGGGATAGTGAGATTAAGTGACTTGTACAGGTTTATACAGCTAGTATGTATCCGAGGTAGGATTTGAACCCATCTCTTCTAGTCTTCAAGGCAGGCTCTCTAGTCACTATACCATAATGACTTTTATAATACGCATATACACAATGCTGGCCTATACTTACATGTATATATGCATAGGTTATATAAGCAAATAAATATATACATGCATATACACCCATGCTGTATCTCTAATCCCTTTTCCTTCTCCTTTTCCCTGATGGATCATCGCAGCCTTCTTTAACCCAGGATGGATTTCGTAGACCCTTTTCACGTGTCCTGCCCATGACTGGTCAACACCAGAAATGTCTCCCCACGGGGACCTGGAAAGGATGCTGCCTATGTCCAGGCCTCGCACTGAGCCAGCAGAGGGAGCTCCTTCCACCCTCTCTGACAGGCCTTGAGCCCCACGTAAACTAGAGATCTGGGGATGGGAAGGCTTGTTCTTCTTGCTCACTAACAAAGAAAGATGTGAAAAGCATTTGCTTTGAAAGCCCTCCCATGGCTTATCTCTCAGGAGGTCAGAGCCTCCTCCCATGGCACCAGTCCCTCCATCTGCTCTCTCTCTTTACGGACACATATCTAAGTGTGTATCCACGTGGAGAAAATGCCCGACGGCCCCTGTCTGCGAGCCCAGACGAATCCGGTTGTGCGGAAGCCAGAAGGTGCCTCCGTCAGCTAAGGCGATAGTGTTGTGGGACTGATCTTATAAGCCACACTTGGAAGTCTGTAGGATTTCCATACGGTTGTGTCCATGCACAAAAAGAAATAGGGGGGGCCTAGTGGAAAGAACCCAGGATTTGGGTTTAGAGGGTTTAAATTGGGCTTTAAATTCCTTTGAATCCTGCCTGTGTCACTACCCGTATGACTCTGTGCAGATGACTTGATTTCTCCGGGTCTCAGTTTACTCATCTGTAAAACTTGGGAGTCGGACTCAACGGCCTCAGAGTCCCTTCCAACTTAATTTCTTACAGTCCTTTACAACTCTCAGTCTGTGATTCTTTTGACAAAATGAGAAGTCTTGTCGTCAAGCAAAGACGTAGATGGATAGGTGATGGACACCTTTGTACTCACGCAGGGTCATTTGGTGTTGGATACCCAGTTTTTGGAGAATCTTCCCATATTCTGTGCTTTCTTGGCAAGTAAAAACAGCCCATTCGATTCTACCCTTCACCCAAATTAGAAATTATTGACCACTAAACTCGCTTCCCAGCCTTTTGCACCCATTTCCCCAATGCTGACCCACTTTGGAACTGATTCTGTTGCTGAAAGGACTTGTCGATGCTCTCTTCAAAGTTCTGAGTGTTTTAGACTTGGGTGTTAGGTCTAGATTGGGTATTAGCACTTGTGGGTGCTACCCCCTGCTTGGCCCCCTCAAAAAGGGAACCATTCCAAGGGAAGCCGAGCTGAAGGGAAGGGATCTCAACCATAGGGTCATGATGACAGAAAGGTAACAGGAAAGGGGAAAATGACAGAAATGGAAAAACAAAAGGTGGAACCAGAGAGAACACACAGAACCCAGTCTCCATGCCTGCAAAGCTCTCCTTCCTCATTTCCACCTTTTGGAATCCCCAGCATCATTCAAAGGTCAACTTAAGCACCACCTTTTGCAGGAAGTCTTTCTTAACTCCCTCGATGCTATGATTCCCTCCAAAGTTTTCAGCATTCACAGTGTATATATTTAATATTCACTTGTATATACATATGATATAATCACCCAATAGAATATAAGCTCCTTGAGGGCAGGGATTGTTTTTTCTTTTAATTTTTTTTTGTCTTTTAAAATCCATAGTCCAGCATAATGCCAGGCACATTCTTCATGAATGCTTATTAACACCATCCTAATCTCTCTCATACTTTGTCTTGTGGTTCTATTAATGAAGCAATAATTCTAGATTGTCTATCTTCACCATCATCAGTTTTTCATCTTTCTAACCAATATCTTTCCCCCTTTTCTCCCCTCCACCTGTCTATCTATGAGTCTACTTATGCATATAATTAAATATATATCTACCACATATATCTATAATATATATAGCTGCCTATATATCTACTTATCTTTCTCTCTTTTTCTTTCATGTCTTACCTTTTTCTCCTTCTTTCTTTCCTTCCCTCTTTCTCCCTTTCCCTCTCCCTCTTCTTCCCTCTTCCTGTCCATCCCCTTTTCCGTCCCCTCTTCTTCTGCCATTCCATCTCCCTCTTCCTCCCCTCTTCTCTCTGTCTTTCTCCATGAACACACAAACACACACATCCATATACAGAAACAAAGATACAGGCCACAGAATGCTGGGATAGCTACTGCAGTGAGGCATTAGGAAAAAATCTGTCATTGCATTGGGGTGACTCAGATCAAAGTGGGGAAGAAAGAAAAAGAGAAAGAGCCTTCCCGAAGGATGATGATGCCACCATCAGCACTCTTTCTTATGCAAAGACAAGGGTGGGGTGTGGGGCGAGGGGGGGGGGTTGGTCAGTCATTTTCATCTTTCTCCTTTGCCCAAAGTGAGAGCTCAAAGTTCACTCTCTAGAGGTCACTGACAGAAGCCAACAGTTCTGTTTATTGTTGAGTGAGCATTCAAGGCTTCTAGGTGGTCAGGACAGGGGATGTGGAGATGATGCTTCCAGGGTCCCTTCTCCCTCCCTCAAAAAAGAGAAAAACAAAACTCAAAAAAACGAAGTTACTCCAAACACTTGTTAAGACGTTTGACTTGCTCATGTTATTCCATGCACAAAGCAAACCCATGGCTACGTACAGGATGGTAAACCTGACTTCCCGTGGCCAAACTCTTAGTGCCAGCTTTAGCAGCCAAGCTCATTTGCATGCAATGATTCCTCCAAGTGCTGAGGAATAAGGTTGTATGGGATAGCACTGAGCTGCTATATGCAGTTTCCCCCACCCCTCAAAGAACCTCCCCGTTAGCTCTCCCCGGAAGAACAAAAGTAAACTTACTTCTATAGGGACAGCTGTTGGAGGCACAGGAGTGTACTGGGGAATGTAGGTCCCTTGCATAGGTGCAGCCGCAGTCATATACTAGAGGGAATCACAGGTAAATCCACGTGAGTGTTTTGTATGCAAAGCAGAGAATAAGTCAATGATCTATTACCCCGTCACCCGCAGTACAATGTCTTATTAATTTCAGAATCAGAACAAAGAAATGACAGTACAAGACACCCCGTTGGCCTAAAGGGGTCCTGCCCTGGGAATGGTGGCATTCAAAAACAGAAAGGATCAGAGCAGGTAATCAAAAACACTTACAAACAAACCACAAACACCCACCTCTTTAGATTACTTCTCATCCCCATGGAAGCAAGAAGTTCTACAACAGAGCACAAGCCTTCAGAAATATTCCCTTTAATGGAGACGCACAATTTGTGGCCAACTGTTTCGCCAACTAATAATTCATGCGGCCACACAGGTTTACATTGGAGAAAACAATTTCCTGATAGCGTATTACTATCTCCATTTTCCAGATGGGTCAAGTCAACAAACATTGATCACGTGCCTCCTAGGTGCCAGGCATTGCATGAGAGATTGATTTTCTGAAGGACACAAATCTAACAAATGTCAGAGCCGAGATTTGAATCCAGATCTCCTTGATTTCACATTCAAAGTTACTCTCTTAACCATATCATCTGCTGATTCAGCAGTTTTCCTTACAGACTGAGAGTGAAACTTCTATCAAGCCTGATTATCCCTATGGCATAGGACTTGTCCAGAAGACCAGAGATTAAATCCTGCCTCAGATACCTGACTGCCCTAGTCACTTAAACTCTGCCTGCCTCCGTTTTTTCAGCTGTAAAATGTGAGGATCAAATATGATAATAGGTTACCATAGAAAGTTTGTAATTTTTAAAGTGCTATATAAGAGTTAGCTATTATCTGTTTCTTCTTTTCATCTGGTTATTTAATTCCATTAGACTGTAGGCTCCTAGAGGACAAGGACTTTATGTTTTTGCCTTTCCTTATATGTAATGCTTAGCACAATGCCTGGCATACAACAGGAACTTGATAAATACTGAACAAATTCATCAAGATATAAAAGTATCAGCTTATGTGAGGTGAATTAGAAAGACCGCTGAATTTGGCATAAAGAAGACCCGAGTTCAACTCTTGTCTGAAACCCTAGCTGTGTGACACTGAGCAAGTCATATATTGACCCGCAAAATGTAGATAATAATAGTACTGATATCATTGTGCAGTTGTGAGGATTAAATAAGATGAGGTACATAAAGGACTTTGTATTATTATTTTTATGTGGATGTGAATTTATCTTGAGAATACCAGATGCACTAATAATCTAGATATTGAACAATCCAACAGACCTTAGCTTTATTTTGCTCTATTTCCTTACGATGTTAAGCAGCTAGCATGTTTCCAAAATTTGACTGACAGACTTGAGCTTCAGGACCAGAATTTCTTCATATAAACAAGCTTCACAATATATACAAGTTTGGAAGAAGAGTTTTATGAAAAGTTACAAGGTCTACCATTATTTATTCAGTCTTGTTTACTGAATGCAAATATTAGGGTATTGCATAAATACACACACTCTGTATTTAAAACATGGCCACAGATCTTGGTTTTGTTATCTAAAATGCATACTCATGAACAGAAGGCATCTGATTTGAGAATCAAGACCTGTGAAGGTTCAAATTTTTAAATTTATTTTTAATGATGGCTAAATATGCAAGCCAACGGTTTCTGTCCTGGATTAAAATATCCATCAACCTCCCCTGGTATGCTCAGTTTGAGGCTAGGAATAGAAAAATAAATGCCCCCAAAGGGGCAGCTAGGTGGCACAATGGAGAGAGCTCTGGCCTTGGAGTCAGGAGGACCTGAATTCGAATCTGGCCTCAGACACTTGACACTTACTACCTGTGTGACACTGGGCAAGTCACTTAACCCCACTGCCTCATTAAAAAGCAAAAAAAAAAAAAAACATACTCAAACTAGCTGTTGTCCTTTGCATGGTCAAGCCCCCTGCCTTTGTCAGTACCTCTTATTTCCTTGCCCTGATCCCATCCTTCATCTCCTTTGGACCTCATAAGGTGCATTATTTTGTCAACTCTCCAAAGTGCTTATTTGGTATTATGTATTCCAGCTATGTATGTTGGTGCCTGGTTACCCTAGGGCATGGTAAGCACCCTCGGGGAGAGATCATATCTCACCTAAATCTTGTGTTTACATCTAGAACAGTGTTTTGTACACAGTAGGCACATAATAACTTTTTTTTTTCTGAAAGAATGAATACGTGTTAAGTGAATATCCCTCATGGGGGTGCTTGGTGAGGGGATGCCTGGAGTTAGCCATTGACCAGAGCACATGGCGATGCTCACACCAAGGAGGTGTAAGAATCACATCATTAGCTCTGCGCTTATAAAAGTCAACCAGATTCCAACAGGCAGCATGTCTGAATGAGGCACATCCTAGCTGTCCACTCTTCCATTTGCCCGAGAGTTCTGCTTGCTCTCTTCTCAGGAGGATTTCTGAGTCATTGACACACAACTGATTTCCACTTGAGGAAGGGTAGTATGATTGAAAGAATGTCATATCTGGAGTCAAAGAATCTGGGTTCAAATTCTGGTTTCCCACTTACTGGCTGTGTGACCTCGGGCAAGTTGATTCACCTCTCTGGGCCTCAGTCCCTCCTCCGGAAAGTGAGTGACATAGACTGGATGATTTCTCAGGTCTCTTCTGGCTCTAAATATATGAGCCTATGTTGTTTTGCTTGTTCAGCCATTTTTCAGTCTTGTCTGACTCTTCCTGACCCAGTGCAATGTCCCTTTGAGGTCAGGGGTCATTTTATTCATTTCATTTTTGTCTTTTCTATTTTTGCATCACTATCAGTGAGCACAGTACCTGGTCACAGATCCATGCCTGTTGATTCATTCACTGGTCTTTCAGCTCTAGGGTCAGGGCTCTTTCTACTATGAGGGAAGGGGAAAAGGGAGTTTAAAGGGGTTCTACCACAGTTGAGTGGATGCTGCTGTAGCAGACGTGGTATCTTATTAACATGATGCGTGTTGAGGGGATCTCAGGCTCATAAGATCATAGACCAGAAGGGGACTGAGATATCATCTAATTCAGCTCCCTCTTACAAAGAAGGAAACTGAGGCCCAGAAAAGTGAAGTAGATTCTTCATGGGTTCATAGACTTAGAGCAGGCAGGGAGCTCAGAAGCCATCTAGCCCAAACAGATGAAGACACTGAGGCTCAAAGGAAGGGCATTCCTTTCTCAAGGTCACAAGATAATGAGGATAAGAATTAGAATATATATATATATAAAATTTTAAGGTTTGCAAAACACTTTCAATATTTTAGTTGATCCTTACAACCACCCTGGAAGGTAGATGCTATTGTTATCCCCATTTCAAAGATGAGAAAACTGAGGCAGAGAGAGGCTAAAGGACTTGTCCGAGCTCACACAGGGAGTCAGTGCCTAAGGCAAGATTGAAGCTCAGATCCCTGACTCCAAGTCCAGTGCTCTGTTGATTGAACCACGTAGAGAGGAAAAGGCAGAGCTGGATATGGAAGTCAGTCCCCCTGACTTCCAGTCCAGGACATTTGCCACTGGAAAGCCGGGGGCCTCCTACTTCTGAGCTGCATTTCGGTGCTGATTTCTTTCCCACACGTTCTGTTTGGACTTCACGCCCAGACTCTCCCAAACTCTTTTAAGAGGCCCACCCTACATGCTTGTTTTCTCCTTCTAGCCTGCTCTGACTCATGGAGCTAATGGAGATATTATGGCCCAGAATGAATTCAGCTCATACTTGGCAATGCACAAATTGACTTGTCTTGTTTCCTCTTTCTGGCTGACTTGCTGAGGACACATAAGGCCCAGAGGACAGAGTTCTGGGCAGGCTGGAGGAGCCTGATTGGAAACAGAAGGAGCTCTTTTTCTTAAGGTGCTTGAACACATTATTTAAGGGTAATATTTTATTATAAAGTTTTGGGGAGTTCAGCCCTTTCTTTGGGTAAAGCCTCACAATAAATCCTTGGAAAGACACAGACAAGAAAACCAGATGATGAGAAGGCATGAACGGGTCATTTTGGGGGTGTGGGCATGTGGGGGTGGGTAGAGAGAGGTTATTGGAATCTTGGAGCTTCCTGGTAATTCCAGTAAAGTCTCACAAGAGGCAGCCGAAAACGAATAGGCAATAAGCTCACCCACGTGCAATTTTGACTTGCACCTTTGGCTGTGCCTCACAAATAATGCCAAACTTTCCCTGGGGACATGTGGTCTGATCCCTTCAAATGCCCAAAGTAATGGCAGCCAGCCTTAATCATGTTGGTAAAAATGTCTCAGTGTCTAGCTATCTACTATCTAGCCATCCATCTACTTGTCTATCTATCCATCTATCTATCTATCTAATCTATCTGCCTGTCCCTGTCTATTCACTTATTTATTTATTCATTTGTTTATCTGTTGATATATGAATTTATCTATTATCAAGACAGTACATATCAAAGAGTTAGGGTAGAGTTTCTAAATGTTTTTGTATGTTTGCTTGTTTCGAGGACCCCTTTGGAAGTCTGGCAAAACCTGTGGACCCCATCTCAGAATGTTTTTAAATATGCAAAATAAAATACATAGGATTATAAAGGAAACCAATTATACTGGGCAAAAAAACCAGTTGTCTACCAATACTAAAACAAAAGTTTCCAGACCCCTAGATTAAGAACTCTTGATTACTAGGATTTCTTGAGTTCAAGAGTCTGTCTTGTTAAGCTCTTCTGGGTTCTACTAACTGAAATCCTCATCAGAACAATATCCTTTCCTGACGCTGATTTTTTTTAACTGGTGACCCAGAGGCCATAAATAATGACAAATGGCCTTTCTTTGATAGTGCCTACATGTGTCGAGCATCACAGTGATTGTGGTTGGTCTGGGGATGTGCTCCACCCATTTTTTCATATTCCAGGAGGCCTGAAGAAACATTTTCAGGTTCCCTGAATAAGCTCCAAATGCCATCTCATGTTCCAAGAAGTCTAGACACTGAATTGCTAATACAGTTATGTGAGGGAAAAAAGGTATATGACTTGAGGTAAATTATTTTTCTCCAGGTCGACCAGTTTTATATTATTTTTAAAGGAGAAGGGAAGTGAAAAGGGAGAGAGAAGGAAAAGTGAGGTTGAAAAGGGAAAATAGGAGACAGGGAAGAAATTATTTCTTTGCAAAGTTCTTGATTTGTCTAATGGAAACAATAAAAATATGGTGGAAGAAGAGAAACACAAAGAGATTGGGAGAAAAGATATGAAAGAGAGGCCAAAGGGAATGATGAAAAGAAGAGAAAAGAAGGAGAATTAGAGAGATGGGAAGAGAGGATAGAAAGGGAAGTGGAAGCAGAAAGGGGATGAGGGGGAAAAAAAGTCTGTTTCTTAAAAGAGCAGAAAAAAAAGTCAACTTTGGTATTCAGAAAGGCTCTAGAAATTCAGGGTGGGAAATCTGTGGCCTCAAGGCCACATGTGGCCCTCTAGGTCCCCAACTGCAGCCATTTGACTGAATATAAACTTCACAGAATGAATCCCCTTAATAAAAGGATTTGTTCTGTAAAACTTGGACTCAGTCAACAGGGTGCACCCAAAGACCTAGAAAGCCACATGTGGCCTCGAGCTGCAGGCTCCCCACCTCCGCTAGATTCAGGCCATGTTGTCTATTCCCCTGCTTCATTAGGTAGAAGCTGGTGTCCTTTATGCTCATTACCCTCCATTTGTCTTTTCATGACTGATAAATTTGGGGGTGGGATCAGGGAGTGTCCTCCTAGACTGATGTTTCACTAAGAACGCTCAGTTGTTTGATTGCTAAAAGCTAATATGATATCGGTTGTGGGCTTCATTGAGAGTGCTCTGAAAGAGAGAGACGGGAGTCCCACTGCACTCTGCCCTGGGCTTACCACCTGGGTCAATCGTGGGTGCCATCTTTTAGGAAGGCTGTTGAAATGCTGTTTGTGTCATTTGTGTGTTCAAAGTCAATAGACTTCTTGGCACTCATCCTTCTTGACCTTTCTTCAGCATGTGACATTTATTGATGACTCCTCTAAAAAAACCTAACCTCTCTCCTCTAAGTTTTCATGTTACTATTCTCCTCTCCTCTCCTTTCAACTGCTGGGTCTTTTCTCAGCATCCATGGTTGAATCATCATTCACATCATGCCCAACTACAACTGTATCCCAAGATTCTGTTCTGAACCCTTTCCTTTTCTTCCCCTATTCTCTTTCTTAGTAATCTCTTAAGCATCCATGGGTTCAACAATTACATTTTTTATAACTGACACCACGAAGTGTCAGTCCTTCAGCAACAGCTATCCATTAGACATTTCCAAATAGAGGTCCTTTAAGCACCTAAAACTCAGCATGTCCAAAACAGCTCATCTCTCTTCGCCAAATCCATCTCTCTTTCAAACTGACCTACTGCTTTTATGGGAACCATCAGCCTTCTAATCAACCAGGCTCTGAATCTGATGGCCATCCTTGACCCCTCACTCTCCCTTACCCCACATATCCAATCAGTTACTAACTCTCAATTCTCAATTCTGCCTTCACAACATCTCCGTCTCTCTACTGGCTCTATAATCACCCTAGGTCACTTCTGGATTTCCCCATCAGGATTTGGTTTGTATATTTTCTACGTCTTTTAGGAGGTGTTTGTGGAAGGGAGCTCATTGCACTGCTTCCGAACACTCAAATATCCTGGCTTTGTCCCCATTCCCCGCTCACCCCTTTTGTTTTTGGTAGATTATGGCAATGGCCTCTTGATCAGTCCCCTGTCCTTAATTCTGTCCCCACTGCAATCCATCCTCCACACAGCTGCAAAAGTGATTTTCCTAAAGTGAAGGTCTGACCACATCAATCCCCTACTAAAAGCACTATAGTGATTCCCTATTTTCTCTCAAGTAAAATGCCTTTTCGGCATTGAAAGTCCTTCACAACATGACTTTTACCTAGCTTTACAGACTTATTACACCTGACACTCTTTCTTCCCACACTCTTCATTGCAGTCAAACTGGCCAAACTGCTGTTCTTGATAAGTGACAGTCCACTTTCTATCACTATCCCTTTGCAGAAACTGCCCTCCATGTCTGGAATGCTTTCCCCTCCCCTCTGCCTCTCAAAATCATTTATTTCCTGCAAAGGGAACTTTTCCAATGTCTCTAGCTCTCTCTATAATCCTTTCCTCTCCAAAATTACCTTGCATTTACTATATTCTAATACCCCTTAACACTATATATCCATTTTTATTTATTAACATGTATATGTTGTTTCCCCCAATAGAATGTAAACTCCTTGAAGACAGGAACTGCTTCATTTTTATATCTGTATATCTAGCTCCATTCTTAAAGAAAAATGCTTATTAACTGATTTAACTTACTATTTACATTTATACCCACATACCTATTTTTACTATTTTGTTATTAACACGTATGATATGGGCATTAAAACATCTCACTGACGCCTCACACTTTTTTGTGCAACAAGGTCATAGATTGACCAGCCAAGGAGTTAAGAAACATGGAGCTGTTCAGTGGTGGATATCATTAATATCCTGTGTGGTTAGCACTGGCCTTGAAGTCAACAAGACCCATGTAAAATCCTGCTACAGTTACTTAGAAGCTGTGCAACTCCCAGCAAATCACTTAAACTCTCGGTACTTCAATTTCCTTATATGTAAAATGACAAAGTTGGATGCTAAGATCTCTTTAAGCTTTAAATTTATGATCCTAGTATCACCTACTAGTTGTGTGTCTCTAGGCACATTCTTAACCATGCAAAGAATCAGTTTCCCAGTCTGCGAAGTTGGGATAACAACAGCACCTACCTCACAGGGGTTGATAAAATTAGTGTCTACATCTTTGCTACCTGAAGTCTGCCCTGTTTTCATTTCTATATTTCTCTTTTCTGTGTCACCATATATCACTGCCTCACCCTTTGCTTCTCCTTCTCACTCCTACTCCTCTGCAACTGTGTTGTTTGAAGGGTGCTCATTGTTAAGAAATTAAAAAGTGTGCCGAGGAGTGGCGAGCTCTCCAGATGAAAGGTGCTTCAGAAGTGAAGCAGACAAATATATAAGGTTCTCAGGTCACAATGCATTAAGAAGGGGCAATATATTTTATTTGTCTTCTGTCTTATTGATTTATCTGGAGAGCTTTTGAAGAAAGTTATATAGACACGTGGTAGAACCAATGATGTCTGCTAGAACTTAAAATTAGGTGACAGGCTTCTTTCTTTCTTTCCTTCCTTCCTTCCTTCCTTCCTTCCTTCCTTCCTTCCTTCCTTCCTTCCTTCCTTCCTTCCTTCCTTCCTTCCTTCCTTCTTTCCTCCCTCCCTCCCTCCCTTCCTTCCTTCCTTCCTTCCTTCCTTCCTTCCTTCCTTCCTTCCTTCCTTCCTTCCTTCCTTCCTTCCTTCCTTCCTTCCTTCTTCCCTCCCTCCCTCTTTTGGAAAGAACCACTTGTAGGGGGCTTAAATTATAGAGATAGCTCAGATGAGCCTAAGAGACCTTCAATTTACCAGAAAGCTTTATTATTCCCTAATCTGAATCCTATGCAAAAACAAACAAACAAACCAAACCCAACAACATTAAAGAGGGTGAGTGAGATGAAGAAAGACAATGACAACCTATGTTGAGAGTGAGCACAGATCATGGGCACCCCATGTTGTCTGTTAAATTCCCCTACAGAGTGCTTCCTTCCAGCATTCTCAATCCCAGATGCTGGAAGCATTCCAGGGAAACAGACTGTGAACTCAAAGGGGGCAAATGTTGAGGGCGCTCTCCAAATGTTCCCTGAAACAAAGATAAGGTCCTGGAAGAGTCCACACATTTAATACCCCCTTCCCCCTCCTTTTTAAGTCAAGAGAAATTTTGGAAGAGAATGTGACCTGTTCAACTACTTGACATATTTATTCTTAGGGATCATGCCAAGAGGGAGGAAAGAAGGGGGGAGACAAGGAGAGGGAAGAGAAGAGAGCATGCCAAGTGAGGGGGGGGGGAAGAAATTGGTCCAAAGCTGGACATAGTGATAGTTATATTTAAAGAGTTATCTTTATATAGAATTCAAACAAAGAGCTAACTGCACCACTCATTACAGGAGGTGACAGCTTATATGTGCACTCATAACAAAACTGTGTTCTGCGTGGCCTTAACAGTTACCCTTGTTGTATTAGCACTCAGAAGTTGTTTTTTTTTTCAATCTAGAATTGAGACCATTAAATGGAAGGGCTTTATGTGGAAATAAACACATACCATATATGCAGAGCCATAACTAGGGTGGGGTGACTGGTTCTTGGTCCCAGGGCGCTGAAATTTAGAGGGCATGAGCATTTAAAATAATGATTTTAAAGATTGTGCAACTTTGAAATTAATTATATTTACATCTTAATAGCAATTATACTTTCAGCAGTATAGACACTAGTTAGCATGAACAATTAAATTAGGTGGTGAAGTAGATAGAATGCTGGACCTGAAGTCAGGAAGATCTGAGTTCAAATCCAACCTCAAACATTTCCTAGCTGTGTGAACTTGGGTAAGTTACTTAACCTCTGTCTAACTCAGTTTTCTCATCTATAAAATGGGGATAATAATAGAACCTACCTCCCAGGGTTGTTGTGAGAATCAAATGAGATAATATTTGTAAAGTGTTTTACAAACTACAAAGCATTATATAAATACTGGCTATGATGATAATGATGATGATGGTAAGGGTCCTGGAAAATGTGCTTTTTGCCCCAGTGGCACAATACCAGGTAGACTCTGCCCTCCCTCATCAGAGCCCTCAGTGCAAAATCCTTGAGATAGTCTAGTCCATTTCCTGACAGTGGAGTTGTTTTCAGGGTTGGAGAATATAGAGCTGGCTGATAGCTCAGAGGACAGCTAGCTATTGGATCAGAGCTATGCGGGGCCTTAGGGATCAGCCAATTAAACTGCCTAATTTTACATATGAGGAAACTGTGGCTATAAACATGAAGTGATTTGTCCGGAGTCACAGAAGTAGTAAGAGACTGAATCTGAATATAGACCCCATGACTTTGAGTCTTCTGCACCAAGGGCCTTCCTAATGGATCCAGTGTCATGGTTTTTACCCAACTGATTGAAGGGGATGTTTAGTGCTGCTTGCCCTAGGCACACAAACTGCAAGTCACAGCTTGGCTTTTCTGATATAGTTCTATAACCACCTCTAATTTGCTCTCTCAGTGTGGCATGGAGAGGACTGAGAACCACTGAAGGCTATATGCCCATGGGGCATATATTCTGGCTGGTCTTATTCAAGCTGGAAAGACTCCGAGTTTCTCCCAAACCAGCCTTGGTGGGGAGATATAACCACAGAGATGAAAGAATTGGTTTTTGAACTTTATAAACGACTCCACCAAAGTGTTACTCCAATGCCTCATCTTGGCTTGGCCATGACCCCTAGGCTCTCAACAACTATATTGCAAATGCTGGTAGGTCCTGCAGAGTGGCAATGGCTTCAAATATCGTCCTGGCAATGATTTTGGTAAGCATCAAGGGAAGTTTGGAAAAGATTAGGTCCCAAAAGTTGGTCACCAGGGGATGACTTTTTTTCCCCCTAGCCAAAGCAGCTCATATATGTCTTCTAAGAAAGAAAGAAAGAAAGAAAGAAAGAAAGAAAGAAAGAAAGAAAGAAAGAAAGAAAGAAAGAAAGAAAGAAAGAAAGAAAGAAAGAAGGAAAGAAAGAAAGAAGGAAAGAAAGAAAGAAAGAAAGAAAGAAAGAAAGAAAGAAAGAAAGAAAGAAAGAAAGAAAGAAAGAAGGAAAGAAAGAAAGAAAGACCAGACAAGGATTTGTGAACTATTGTGGGAGAGGGAGCATCTACAGAACTGAAATCATGGCCCCCAGGTCTAGGTGAACACACACATCTCCTATAGTCAGTCTTCTTGTCAGCGGCTCCTTTCTTTCAGCTTTCCCATCTGACAGGAAGCCAGCAAATAGAATAGGAAGAACAGCATGGTGTTGGGGACATGTAAACACCTCCACAGAGATTAGAGCCCATTCTCTTGGGCATAGCATTTGGAGGAACCAAAGGTAAAGTATTACAGTTCTTTTTCTTATTGTCTTTGGGGAACTGAGGGACAAAAAGCATGGAATAAAAGGCTGAATGGCAGGGGAAAGGAGGTTGGAGGAGGAGGAAGAGGAGAAAAAAAGAGAAGGAAGTCCGCCCACTGGTACCAACTCAAAAGGAGTCTCATAGGATCATGTAGAAGTGTGAAGAACAGGAGAGACAATTTAGTCCTAGCTCCTTATCACACTAACTTACGGCTTCCTAACTCCAGGCCCAGCATTTTATCTACTGCACCACCTAGCTGCCTCAGTGGTAGGACTTGAACCCAGTACTTGATTCCTAGGCCAGTTCTATTCAGTAAGTTTCCTTGAATTCCCTTAAACCCTTTGTTCTGTAGGTAGAACCCACCTCCTCTCTATACCGAGGAAATGAATACAAAGCATAGTCAGAGGGTTGTAATTTCTTATTTATACCCACGTTGTCCCACAAATGTCTACCTCGTCCCTTGTGACCTTTGTGGGATAATATACAGTACCTACAAGTGAGGAGAAAATGACCACTCATCACAGTTTCTATCTAGCTACACCTTTGAAATCTTATCATTCCTCTAAGTCTTCCTCTTTACCAGTGTCTTCCACTCCTCCAATGCTACATCACAGTTGAGAAGTGGCCTTGGGTTTTCAAAAGTGATGCCAGTGAAGAACCACTGGGAAATGGTCCCACGTGTGGTCAGGTTTCAAGGTATATATGTCTATCAACTGAGGGTCACCCCAGCTAAGTTTGGCTAGACTCATTCTCAAGTGGCTAATTGGGGATATAATAACTATCTATCTATCATCTATTGTCTATTTTTGTTCATTCATTCACTCACTCATTCTCATTTATTCATTCATTCAATTATCTATTAATCATTTATTCACTTATTTATTAATACATGTATCTATTTAGGCCAGAGCAGCTCATTAAGGAGTCTACTAAGGCATGGAGGGTTTCTGATCTGCATTGACGGAGAGTTTCCACATAGAATATTGCCCCCCCCGATGAAGCTGACTTTCCTGCCACTGCCTGCTGGAAGTTCACTGCACTTACCATCCTCTTCCTCTATGACATTGTCCAGGTTGTCCCCAGTGTCTGGAAAATTCTCTGTCCTCACCATCCCCCCAGGGCACTGCTAACCTACTTCAAGACTGAATTCAAATGCCACCTTCCGCAGGAAGCTCATCCTCCTTGCCCTACTTGTTAGTGGCCTCATGAATGCTTCTGTCTTCCATTTGCATGTATTTTGCATGTTCATACACATCTATGATGTTCCCCTCCTCCTAGTAACATGTGAGCAGTTGAGTGCGAGGACTCTTCATTTGTGTTTTTGTGCCCCCGACATCTCACACAGTGCCTGGCACATAGCACGCATTTAATAGACTGCCCGAAAAGTTGTCCAACCAATAGATCAATGAACAAGCATTTATTACACATCTACCATGGGCCAGGCACTTAACTTCTCTTAGTCTCACTTTCCTCATCTCCAAACTGGAGATAAACGTACCCATGCTACCAACCTCATATCCCATGATGAAGAAAGTGCTTTGGAAACCCTCAAGCAGAACAGAAATAAGAGCTCTTATGATGTGTGTTTCCACTTAAGCACAGCTAGACGTCAAACAGGAAATGAGAAGCCATGTCATTACAAGCTAATAACGACAAACAAAGGAAGTGAAATGGAAATCTGACACTGACAGTGTTTACTGGAACTTCCCCTGTTATAGAAACAAACAACAAAAAAAGTGAGGCCATTTTGTTTGGAAGGGAGGAATTCACAGATGTGGTACATGACAAGATGAAAAATGTCTGAGTAATGGGACAGCTGAACCTTGTAAACAGGAGAGCAGCTGAATTGGGAGATTGCCAGTGCAAGAGGGGAAGGAAAGGCACTCCAAGGAGGAAACAAAAAATGAAGGGTTGTACAAGCTGAGCAGTGCAAAGGGTGTTTTGGGAGGCAGCTACAGAAGACCCTTTTGGGTGGTTTGTGAGGTCAAGAATCATTTCCCTCATAATACTGAAATATTTAATTTCTAATATGGTAAATGTTGATAGATATAACCCAAATAATAAAGGTTCTTTGGAGGCCTCATTAATTTTTAAGAGTGTCCTGAAACCCAAAGATTTGAAAATCTCTGCTCAAGACTGTTTTTAAGGTGTCACCTCTAATAGGAAGCCTTTGGTGACCATCATATATTTACTATCTGTTTCCATGTGGGCATATCCTCAAGCAGCATGTAAGCTTCTTGAGGCCAGGGATTTTTTGTTTGTTTGTTAATTACGTAATCGTATCTCCAGTGCTTTGCTCATAGAAGGCATTTAGTAAATGCTTGCTGGATTGGAGCAAAAATAACACCCATCCCTCTTTGTTACACAGGTTAAACCATTGTTTGAATTCATTTTACTCAGCTTCCTTGAATATTTTTGCTAATCTGTCATGAGTCCTCCAGAACTACTATTAATAAGGTCACTCAAATTAAGCAAACTTCTAAGTGAAATATTAGTTTCTTTCTCTGTGCAGTACTATTTCTAGGATGACATGTAGGTAGATTAGGTTGGTAACATGGAGTGATTTGACAGGCTTTGCAGAAAGACCTCCATGACAAAATTTTTCCTTAGTCTTACTCCACTATGTCATACCACTTGAAATGATAATAATAATGATGATAATAGCTAGCATTCATATAATGCTTTAAAATTTGCAAAGTTCTTTACATATATTATCTTATCTGATACAACAAACCTGTAAGGTAGGTGCTGTTATTATCTCCATTTTACAGATGGAGGAATTGAGGTGGAAAGAGGTTAAATGACTTGGCTAGGTTCACATAGCTAAGAAGTATTTGTGAAGATATTAAGAAGTACCAAGGTCTTCTTGACTCTATCCATGGTGCCACCTGGCTGCCTCGGACTAATTCATTTTGAAATAATAAAGAGTTACTCTTTAATGTTATGGCACTATGTTTCCAAGACTCCTGTAACCCCATCCCAGTTAAAACAGAAATGCTACTTAAGAGGGTTACCCAGGAAGCCATTATTAGTTGTCAACACCTCCAACCTTAGTTAGAGAGATGATGGTGCCTGGAAAAGGTGAGTTTTGGTGAAGGGAGGAGGGCAGGGTGAGCTGCTGGCTAGCTTGGTCAGGCTTTGGTAATTTGAAGCAAAAGAGTGGAGGGGGAAAGGGAGAAATAGGAGGCAGGGAATGTATTATTTCTGCCTGGGTATCTCTAGTACCTACCAAAGTGG